TCTAAGGATGAGCATGGCATCTCCTTTCGGCTGTTTGCCTAGCGTTTCTCCTCGAGACTTCAGCTTCATTGCTGCTGCCCTGAAGTGTGTGGTCATGGAAGGAGTAGCTTCATGGCCTTTGGTTGTACCCATCCTCTGCGTTCGCATGATTGGGAGGTTTGGGGCCTTGACCCTTTGCATAGGGTGAAATTTGTTAGCTGCTTCTTGGGCCTCCGATTCAATCCCCGCTTCCTTACTGGATGTCGCTTCTCTGCATCATCCTTGGCCATCTCGGAGGACGGGATCGGTTCATTTGCACCTGGTTCCTCCATCTCACGTTCAAAGTTCCAAGAGATGCGCATTAGCTGTTGTGCATTGTCCTCTTGCTGCTGCTTCTCCCAGCTTCCATACATCACTCTTTCGAGGAACTTGACGTCCCTGCTGTTGAAGTACACCTCCTTAGCTGGTTCCCACAGCAACCATCCCTTGCTCTCGGCTGCAAATCCAAGATGCACACACCACCTAACCGTTGCCCCGAGTTTGTTTCTGTGATGCTTTGGGACATGGGCAACTGCCATGCACCCAAACACCCTTAAAATATCGATGGGTGGCGTTCCCTTGAGCCACCTTGCCATTGGAACCCATGTATCATTGGCTACTTTGGTGAATACTCGATTTTTTGCGACCGTAGCATGCCTTACAGCATGGGGCCATTTGGAGTTGCCAAGCCCTGACTCAATGAGGAGTCCCCTAGCTGCATCAATAATTGTCCAATTTGCCCTCTCCGCTACGCCATTGGATTAAGGAGCGGTGGTAAGCTCTCTTAGAATCCTTTTCTTCTTCAGCCACTTGGTAAGTTCTCCTCCAAGGAATTCACCTCCTCTATCCGTCCGTATCGTCTTAACCTTATGGTCGGATTGAGTTTCTACCACTGGAAGCCACTCATCCATTATCATGGCAGCTGTATAATCCTTGTGCTTGAGCGGTTATGCCCATACAACTCTGGTCCAGTCATCTACGATGGTAAGGAAGAACCTTTCCCCTCTATCTCCCTGCACTGGAAGCAGGCCGACAAGGTCCATGTGCACTAGCTGGAGTGGCTTCTTGGTGCGACCAACTACACCATGAAAAGGAAACCTTGTGAATTTGCTCAGTAGGCAATTTTCACATCTGTGACTAGGTGGGCTACCCTCTAGGACTAGCCCCTTCACTGCTTCTTGCTTGTGTAGCTGCTGCAGTATGGACATGGCCACATGTCCCAACCTGCGATGAGCTGTTATCCAATCAGTCTCGCTGCTTCTTGCTTATACTTTTTCTCCCTCAGCAACTACAGCATTACACTCCCCCTGGAGTGTATGCTTCTTGTCTCCCAAAGGCACCACCGGGAGCTGCCACATAGACCTGTAAATGTCTCTGCTCTTATGTAAGTCCCAAAGTATCTTCTTACTGAACTGCCCTTTGAAGGTTTTAGCTCCTTCGGTACTCGTGCTTACCCCTGCCTTGCCCAGCTTCCTCAAGGAGATGAGATTTGTTTTGAGCTCTGGGAATAGTAGCAACTCCTCTAGTATCATTGGCTTTCCATCTGTTCCCTTAAATGCAGCCCTTCCAGCACCAGTTACTTTTAGTGCATGGCCCGAGGCAGCCCTGACCTCGGAAATAGGGGCCGTTATGAGCTGGTCCAGCAGCTCTGCTTGCGGGGTTATTGTCCAAGCGACACCTGATCCAAGATCCAAGTGTGAAGGGGATGTAACTCTTCTCCCACCTTAGCAGCTATTGCTCCATTGTCCCCTTCCTCCCCCACGTGATAGAACTGCCCAGCCTCTTGCTCATACTCCTCATCTCCACTCTCTTCGCCCTCATTTGCATCTGCTACCGCTCCGGCACCATTTTCTTTATGAGTCCTGTTGGTTGGATTCCACCACTCAGGTTTGGTTCTGCATTTGAACCAAGGGTGCCCCACCTTCTGGCAGTGCCAACACTTCCCTTCCATCCTTGTGTTGGTTCCTCTCAAAGTCTTTCCTCCTCTAGAAAATCTGCTGCCACGTCCCTGTCCCCTTCGTCCTTGTTGATGATAATGTTCAACATCGACCCTTCCACCCCTTCCTCCTCCTTGCCAACCACGCCTCCTGCCCCTCCTAACCCGTTGCATTGCACAGCTGCTGCTCGCTCCCCCTCAAAACTGGAACCTCCAGAAGTCTTCTTCTAGGATCTTTGATCGTACCCATTCGAGGGTCCATAGGTTCTGGTTTTGGGGAAGACTGAGACCGCTGGTGAACTGAAGCCATGACTCAGAGAGTAGGGAGAGCATCTTGAGGCACTTTGTTTGTTCCGGGTAGGCAATGCCGGCGATGGTCAGCTTGGCGTACAGGTCTCTCATCTTATCGAGGACGGGTGCACTGGTTCTCCTTCTCTCAGCTTCAAGGAGGACATCTCCGTTTCCAACATTAAGGTGGCAACAATAGAGGTAGGTGCATGAAGATTTTTTAGCACAGCCCATTCCTTTAGGCCACCCTCCTCCTCCGGTAGTAGGTGCATAATGTGCTGTCTTTGATCCAGCTCCAGACTTTGCGAAAGTAAGTAGTATCCAGCAGTTGATCTCTCCTCCCAATCCCTCTTCAAGGTCGTTTCACTAGGTAGCTTTTCGACTCCTGTCATGAGCTTGAGAAGTCGGATCTGTCGGAAATACAGCTGCATTTTCCATTCCCAGTCTTCATATCCCTCCCCATTGAACTTTTCAACGGTGAAATTGCGCAGCACCTCCTTGAGTAGTGAGCCCTAGCTTGTCCGTGCTCCCATTTGCACTGGGATGCCAGACTCCTCGCTCGTACTACTCGCTGGTGCTGATGAGCCTCCTTCTCCCATTGTTCCCATGCCCAGCGGTAATCCAAAATGCTAAGAACCAGGCTCTGATACCACTTGCTACAAAATAGGAGGCAAATAACACTCTATGAAAAGGGATTCAGGCATACAAGACTTGCTGCAGGTGGCCCCCAAGACTTGCTCCAGGTGTCATAGCTCGTCTATGAGATCGCATCCCTCAACTCGTGCCATACCCCTGCTGGACTACGACATCGAGTGGGGTGCAATGGTGGCATCGTGGCGAGCAAAAAAGAAGAGGCGGCCAGCAAAGGAGGTCGTCATGGCACAGGCGGCACCGCCGATGAAGCGCAAGAGTTTGGAAGCAGTAAGAGCAGCCAAGAGAGCCACAACTTCATCAGAAACAGCTGCAAGGTAGGCAGCAGCTCTGGCGGAAGCAGAGGCGGCTAGGGAGGCCGAGCCAGGTTTTGCCTATTGGAAGTGCAAGGCGAAGGGCAAGGCGCCAGCAGCAGAGGTGGAAGAAGACAGTGAGGAGGACAAGTAGGATAACCCTTTTGCATCTGACAGTGAAGTTGAAGAGCGATGCTCCAAGCCTTGCGAAGAGGGAGCCGTACCGTGGCTTGTTGTGAACTGTAATCCAGTGGTCCGCCCATTTGCTGTAGCTATTTTGTAGAGCTGCAGTGCAGCATGTTCGATAGCAATAGCAGTAGGCTCTGTAGGCTTAGCTCGGTAGCCTTACTAATGTCTTGGTAGAATCTTTGCTCTGAATGCAACATTTATAGGCCGACTACTTTATAGCGTTAAAATATTTCGTCTGAAACTTAAGACTGGCCATGCAATCTCGTCTGAAACTAGACACAGACCACTTCCATAATTTCGTCTGGCTGTCAGACGGTGGCAAAAAAATTCGTCTGAAGATCAGACACCTCTAAATCCTAGCGAGGACCCTGAACGCGATGTGACCAAAAAGGATTGCATAAAATATGTTTTAATGTACGAAAAAAGTAAGGGATTGCAGTAATGTCCACATGAATTGGCAACGAGTGTGCGTTTTCAGTTCACGCTTTAGAAGTTGGCATTTCGATGTGCTGGCACTCCACTTGCGAAAATCCCTCTCTCGTGAGCTAGTTCGTGCTTTCGCTCCATGTTTGGTTTTGCTTTTTCAACCCCTGCCCACACGCATTGCTTTGGGCAGCGCAAAATGTACTGGGACGTCAGCTCCTCTGCGCCCTATTTTCCGTTGAACAAAGACAGTCCGTCTACAATAGTTATTATATGTGATAACTACACTAAGCCGTCGCTGACGTCCCGGGACGTCACTCTCGGTTTCAATTTATACACCCCCTTAGGACGTGGTGATAACTTTGCGTGCTGATGCGATGCATCACCAGCTGTCACGTTAGGCTGGCAAATAACGGAGATTCTCTATGCCTTGGCTCGTCCTAGCCCATTAGTGGTCGATAAACTGACCCTCTACCAAGTCATGGGCATGCGTGCCAAGGCGTGCCATACAGCGCGCCAAGCTCGCGAACAAAGCGAACTCACATCAAAATTGAGGAACTCTCGCAATGTCAGTAATCACATGCACACCAAACGTTTTTCGCCATTAAGCTTTCGTGAAGATCGCGCGCATGCTCCCTATCCAAGAACCAACAGATGGGAAAACATGACGCGTTGGTTTGTGTGTCCTGGTTTCGTGAATTCTGGATTGTGATCTTGGTTTCCCTATTTTTGGCACACCTTGTTCTCAGAATAACGCAATGACTAGAAGGAGGGGATACAAGGGAATATATGGTTGGTTGTTGTACTCTCTAAGAGCATGAACCCTTCTAGCCTATAACTGCAACATATATAAATATATATAAGTTGACACACCCACTAGGCTAGACAAGGGGCAATGCCTAGCGAGAGACACGCAGCTCAGGGCGGCACCACTAGTCCAGCCTTCGAGGCAAGGGTCCAAAGACAAGTCAGCAAGAGAACAGACTAAACAGAAGTAACCCAGGGAAGCACTACTAGTCAAGCCACTGGAGCAAGAGCCACAAGGCCAGTCAAGTTAATATAAAGAGTAGTACACAATCAGGGTCCTAGCAAGTGAGAAGCTACAGGAACTAGACCAAGCTGTACACAGTGGTGCTGATAATCTTTCGGTGCAAGCGCCTGTTGGTGCAACCCTATGGCTTGCACTCGGCTTGTCGTCCGTGTTTGTGTGTGTGCATGCATGGCATGGAATGACTTGTGAGTCTATGTCATTGCTATCTAGTGCTTGTGTGTGTGTTTGAATGGTGTCTCACAATGTGGTGTGTGTCGGTCAAGACATTAGTGAGTTTTTACAACTCGAATGTCAAGTCGTCGTTTGCGTGTCGCATGTGTTTTTCTATTTTGTCGAGTGTGAAGTGTCCATCGCGTCGCAGGTGTGCGCAGCAAGCCCCCATCAACTCAAGAAGAATTTATCTTGAAGAACCAAGACCAAGAGCTCAAGATTTCAAGCCCAAGGGACGCGGATAAATATTAAATAGTGAAAATAGTAACGCTACTTTGTGTAGTGTTACATTTCACTTAGTGTAGCCCCTTGGAGGGTTTGTTTTGTGACTCTTCGTGGTTGGGGACTCTGTGGTGGTGTACCACCAACCTGGACCTCGGCTCTTGGGGTATGTAGAGGCTGGGAACCATCTCCCTCTCGAATTCTTCTTCCTAAGTTTTTGTACTCCTAAGACCATAGTGGCTGCTGTACCTCCTGCCAGTCAAACCACCATAGCGTCGTCAAATCTTCATGGAATTTTATGATTCAACTTGCTGCTGATAGGCGACACCAACGCGCTCCAGATCCAATTTACAGATCACCGTTTGAGGCACACATCAGATCGGCATCAATATTTGAATCTGGCTGACGGAATTCTGACTGTGCACAATTTTCTCTCATTTTAGGCACATCTGAGCCTATTGTGATTATAACAAGTGGTATCAGAGCCCCTTGGAGCTGTCTCGACCATGCCTAGACCTGAGGAAGGGGGTGGCAGAGCTGCTGGAGGCAGAGAAGACGCCCAAGCACAAGGTCAACACCAAGATCCACCCATGGCTCCCGTGCAACCTAGCCTTGGACCCTCTAGGGATGAGCCTAGAGTGTTTGGCCTTGACAAGTTCAACGGTGACAACTTTGCTGAGTGGTCCTTCAAGATGGAGAACATCTTTGACCACTATGATCTGCTAGAGGTGATGGAAGGAACGGAGAAGCGCCCCGAGAACGACCCGGAGAAGAGCCCGTGGGTGCGGAAGAGCGCACAAGGCTACCTTCTACTTGGGCAAGCGTTGGGGAGCAGCCAAATCCGTCACATCAAGCCTCTTCAGCGTGAACCAGCAAAGGGACCAAAGGCATGGGCTGCTCTCAAGGGTGTACACGCTCCTGCAACAGCGGCGGTGGCTGTGGTTTTGGAGCGGCAAATGGCGGCCCTTCGAATTGACGAAGGCGAACCGGTGGAGGACGGAGTGCAGAAATTCTTCGACTTGTTGACACGGCTTGAAGGAGCTGACCTGAACTACAGTGACCTTCAAAAGAAGACCAAGCTGCTGGCCTTGCTTCCGGACTCATGGTCCTCGCTCATCATCAACCTAAATCGAGATCTGCCCCGCCTCTCGCTCGAAGATGTGAAGCGGGAAATCTTACAAGAAGATTTCCGCCGTCGTGAATTGGCGGGTACCGATGGTGCCGGAGTTGCAAGCATGGGCCGTGGGCACGGCCGTGGAAGGGGCAGAGGGCGAGGAGGAAGATTTGGCAGCAGCAACTTCAATGGAGGCCGTGGTAATGGAGGATATGGCAGCAACAACAATAACAATGGCTACGGGCGTGGGCGCGGTCGATTTGATGGCGAATGCCACTTTTGCCACAAGACCGGCCACATGTGGAGAGATTGCTACAGATTGCCGGATGGATGGACCCCTTCTCAAGGCCAAGAGGGCAGAGGAGCAAGGGGAGGAAGAGGCAGAGGTCGTGGAGGCCGTGGTTGTCGTGGAAGCGAAGCGGCATGCATGAAAGGTGGAGACTACGAGACGGGCCCGAGTGAAGATCGATACCCGGGCCAATTCTTCTTTGTCTCCACGCAAGCGGCAGCTGCAGCAGGAGGTGTGGAAGGCATTGAGGAGCCAGCTACTGTGGGAAAGGTCACCCTTCACTCTCTGGACTTTTGGGTGATCGATAGCGGCGCCACCTATAGCATGACACCTCGTGCGGACTTGCTCACCGAACTCGAACCGTCGCCGGTCAAGCATGTCACATCGGCTTTGGGGCAGCGAGCAGAGGTGAAAGGCATGGGCAAGGCCATGTTCAAGGGTGCTGATGGGAAGATGGTGGGCCTCAAGAACGTGCTTTGGGTGCCCAACCTTGCAGCCAACCTGATTTCTGTGCGGCGTTTGCAAAAGGCCGGCATGGACACATCTTCCAAGGGATCCAAAACTTATACCGCGCGGCTTGGTGAGCGGAAGCTCTGGGACCTTCATGAGGACAGGGACATCTACAATGAAATGTGGCAAATCCCAGTGGTCCCCATGCCTAAGGAGAGGCAAGTGGCAGCAAGCATCAGCACCAAGAGTGAAGCGGTTGGTGGCGGTGATCACGGAAAGCAAAGTGACACCAAGAGTGACTCGAACGAGTGCAATCTTGGAGAGACCAGCAAGGCATGTGAATCCAAGGAGAGTGGTGCAGCAGCCAAAGGTGGTGGAAATGATGAGGAGAATCATAAGATCAGCAAAGCAGCAGCGGCAAAGGAGAAAGGAGAGAGCTTGTGGGGCACAATTGCGAGTGCCGCTTTCTCCCACCCGACTTCCGCTACGGGAGAGTGTGATTGGCTGACCTTGCATCGGCGAATGGGGCATGTGGCATTGCCCATTTTGCAGCAGATAGTCAAGCAAGACATGGTCAGTGGGATACGTGTCAAGGGGGAGCCCAATGAGGTGCTTGGCTGTCCAACATGCATGCAAGCCAAGTTCACCCGCTACCCGTTCCATAGCTCGGAGACAACGGCGAAGGCACCACTTGATGAGGTGGTGATGGATGTGGTGGGCCCCTTGAAGCTTGGAGCTGCTGGAGCTGAGTACTTCCTCACCATTGTGGACGTCTACACTTGCATGACTTGGGTGTATGTGCTGCCCAAGAAGAGTGACGTGGCTGAAACGGTGAAGACCGATTGGTTGCCGATCGTGGAGCGGCAACAAGACCGGCTTGTGAAGGCGATTCGCACTGACCGTGGGGGAGAGTTCCTGAGCAAGGACTTCTCAACTTGGCTGAAGAAGCAGGGCATAAGGCACTCTCTTACCATGCCCTACTCTCCTGCAATGAACGGCATTGCCGAGCGTGCGAATCGGACACTCACGGAGACGGCTCGGGGACTTCTCATTGAAGCCGGTCTACCCAATTACTATTGGCCGGATGCGGTGCGGCATGCTTGTGTGGCCAAGAACAGAGCCTTGACTCACGTGGGAGAAGACAAATGGGTGCCCTATGTGGAGTGGATTGGAAGGAAGCCGAAGGTGGATATGCTTCGGGTGTTCGGGTGCATGTGCATGGCACTTGTGCCTAAGAAACTTCGGCACAACAAGCTTGATGCCAAGGCAACATGGGCCGTGCACTTGGGCATGGCTCAAAACAGCAAGGGATGGCTTCTTTGGGACCCATTTACCAAGAAGTTCCTGGTGAGCAGAGATTGCAAGTTCATGGAGAACTTACCGTACAAGGAGTGGAAGGCGGAGAACCAAGCGAAGATTGGTGTGCGGCTTGGAGAGGTGAAGAGTACCGGCTTGGAGCATGTGGAGCTGCCCTTGGAGCTGAGTAGCAGCAGCACTATCACAAGGCAATCTCCTCAAATGAATGGGGGAGAAGAGGAGGAGGAGGTGCAACAAGGTGATGAGCGTACACCGTCACTTCCGCCTCGTGCTACATGTGCTCGCGGGAACCGAGCAGATTTGCAGCAACGCCATGAGAGCATCCAAGTCCCTGTAGTAGAGGAGGAAGGAAGGGGGAGAAGGAAGACTCAGCCCCCCAATAGGTTGAGCTATGAACGGCTTGGAGGAGCAGCCAACTCAACCTTGACCGGTTCGGCTCTCATGCTAGGCGATGAAGCGGAAGATGAAAGCGAGGAGTGCGCTTTTGCCTTCTTCTCTCCGGTGGAGATACCGGGGGAGCCTACAAATCCCAAGGAGGCTTGGGAGGGCCCCAATGGGAAGGAGTGGAAGAAGGCCTCAGATGAAGAGATGGGGAGCATCATCGAGAACGACACGTTTGACTTGGTGAACCTACCTCCGGGGCGTAAGGCGATCTCTTCCAAGTGGCTCTTCAAGCGCAAGACCGACGCCGACGGCAACATTGAGTGCTACAAGAGCAGACTTGTAGCCAAGGGGTACCAGCAGCAGGAGAAGAAGGACTACAATGAAGTATATGCTCCTGTGGTGAAGGGTACAACCCTTCGAACCCTCTTCGCCGCGGCGGCCATCAAAGGATGGGTGGTGAAGCAAATGGATATCGTAACGGCCTTCCTCAACGGAGTTTTGGAGGAAGAGACCTACATGGAGCAGCCAGAGGGGTACAATGATGGGAGTGGCAGAGTGTGGAAGCTGAAGAAAGCCCTCTATGGCCTCAAGCAAGCCCCTAGGCAATGGTACATCAAGCTGCGGGAAGTCTTGGAGGCGATCGGTTTCACTCCCTCAACAGCCGATCAATCATTGTTCATGCTTGGCGAGGGGGAGCAGAGGAGCTTCATGGTGGTTTATGTGGATGACATCCTCATATTCTCACCCTCCTCTGACCTTGTGAAGGAGGTGATGCTGAAGCTTCAAGACAAGTTCAAGTGCAAGACCCTTGGTGACGTCAACTACTACCTTGGGCTTCACATTGAGCGAGATGTGGAGAAGCGGTGGATGCGAGTGCATCAAAAGAAGTACTTGGAGGCCTTGGCTGCAAACTTTGGGAAGAGTGAAGGTCATGTGGCTACTCCTCTACCCTCAGGGTTCAAGTGTGTGAAAGGACCAGCGGAGGAAAGTGTTGGTGAAGAGGAGAGGCGCCGTTTTCACTCCTTGGTGGGCAGCCTCATGTATGCGGCCGTTCACACAAGGCCGGATGCAGCCTTTGCTACTGGGCAGCTAGCTAGGGTTGTCCAATGCCCTAATGAAGAGCAGGTAGCAGCTGGAGAGAGGGTGGCCAAGTACCTTGGCCAAACAGCAACTGTTGGACTGCAATACTCCGCGGCGGCACAAAGGCGTCAAAAGGGTGCGGATGGAGTCGAACCCGGGAGGCTCTTTCTCACCGCCTTCTCTGATGCATCTTGGGCATCAGAACCAGAGGACATGACAAGTGTGGGAGGCTTTATCTGCTGTGTTGGTGGAGGACCAACAGCTTGGGAGAGCAAGAAACAAGTGGACCAAGCATTGAGCTCGGTGGAGTCCGAGTACATGGCACTCTTCCGTGCCATAAGAGAGGTTGTGTGGCAGCGGCGTTTGCTAGCTGAATTGGGGGAGGAGCAGCAAGGACCTACCCCCCTCTACTGTGATAGCCAGGGTGCTATTGCATTGGCTAAGAACCCGGTTCTTCATGGCCTTACCAAGCACATGAAGGTGAAGTGGCATTGGGTGAGGAGCATGGTAACCGCGGGTGAAGTGGAGTTGCACTACGTGAAGACGACGGCGCAGCCTGCTGATATGATGACCAAGAGGCTGGTTGAGCAGCAGCATTGGAAGTGTTGCAAGCTTGCTGGGATGGCTCTGAACTAAGGGGAGCAGATTCTAAGGCCAACAATCCGAGGGGGAGTTTGTTGGTGCAACCCTATGGCTTGCACTCGGCTTGTCGTCCGTGTTTGTGTGTGTGCATGCATGGCATGGAATGACTTGTGAGTCTATGTCATTGCTATCTAGTGCTTGTGTGTGTGTTTGAATGGTGTCTCACAATGTGGTGTGTGTCGGTCAAGACATTAGTGAGTTTTTACAACTCGAATGTCAAGTCGTCGTTTGCGTGTCGCATGTGTTTTTCTATTTTGTCGAGTGTGAAGTGTCCATCGCGTCGCAGGTGTGCGCAGCAAGCCCCCATCAACTCAAGAAGAATTTATCTTGAAGAACCAAGACCACGAGCTCAAGATTTCAAGCCCAAGGGACGCGGATAAATATTAAATAGTGAAAATAGTAACGCTACTTCGTGTAGTGGTACATTTCACTTAGTGTAGCCCCTTGGAGGGTTTGTTTTGTGACTCTTCGTGGTTGGGGACTCTGTGGTGGTGTACCACCAACCTGGACCTCGGCTCTTGGGGTATGTAGAGGCTGGGAACCATCTCCCTCTCGAATTCTTCTTCCTAAGTTTTTGTACTCCTAAGACCATAGTGGCTGCTGTACCTCTTGCCAGTCAAACCACCATAGCGTCGTCAAATCTTCATGGAATTTTATGATTCAACTTGCTGCTGATAGGCGACACCAACGCGCTCCAGATCCAATTTACAGATCACCGTTTGAGGCACACATCAGATCGGCATCAATATTTGAATCTGGCTGACGGAATTCTGACTGTGCACATTTTCTCTCATTTTAGGCACATCTGAGCCTATTGTGATTATAACAGCGCCTTCGTAAACATATCAGCTGTGTTGGAACCGGAGGCCACGTGTACTACGCAGGCCTGGTGGCGCTGCTGAAGCTCGCGCAGGAGGAAGTACCGCAGCTGGATGTGCTTCGCTCTGCCCTCGAGTCGAGGCTCCTGATACAGGAGGATCATGGCCCTATTCTCAGCGTAAAAAACCGGGGCAGAGCTAGGCCGTTCACCTAAGTCTGTGAGCAAGAACGCCAGCCAGCGAAGCTCCTGTACCACCATGGCACCAGCGTAGATCTTAGCCTCCCAGTAGGACTGGGCAACAAACGATGAGCAAGTGGACCTCCACAAGATGGCGCCTGCACGAAGGCTAAAGCAGTAGCCCTGGGAGGACCTAAGTGTCTAGCCATCGTCCGCCTACGAGGCGTCTATGTGCCCTGTAAGGACAACTGGCCTGCGTCCTCCCAGCACTCGCCCCATGCTCGATGTGCTTGCTAGATAATGCAAAACCCTCTTAGCGGCCGACCAATGCTGGGGTCGGTGTCTGCCCAACGCCACCAATTGAGCCAAGATACTAAGAGTGTATGTGAGATCTGGACGAGTGCAAGTCATCAGGTACATAAGGCAGCCTACAAGCTTTGTGTACAGACCACTGG